CCTTGTCACACTGTTATGTATATGTTTTGCATTTCAGTGATGTCATCATTCTACAAGACTATGTCAAATAGCTAAGCTAGTTAGCTATACAGGTTTGAAATGTCAAGATTGGTCTGTTAATCCTATTAAACATGAATAAAGAAATTCATGAAGAGAGGAACCCTCCTTGCAAAAATAAAACACACTTTCTCTATTGGGTAGAACACTGTAAATTCCACACCCTTGTTCCTAATTACACATGTACAATTCACAGTAGGAGAAAGCTGAAATCAACTTGGTCAGTCATATATGAAAAACCTCACATGACTCGATGTTTCACAAAATGTGTTTGAGTGGAGCTGCATAACATGTATTCTTTAGTAGTATGTATCTTGCACTGCAAGATAGGAAATAGCATGAAAGAAGCCCTTAGGCTATCTTGCAAAGATGTTACAGAACAGGTAATGGTCATCAGTATTTCCTGGTTAAGTTCAGTAAAATTGACCAAATGAATTGCAACTATTAAAGCGCTTTAACAGCGCAAACCTCTGCTAAGCAGCAAATTGGGTCTTAAAGCTAGAGCTAAAACTCCCACATAATCTGGATCATTACCAAATTTAAATTAATTCATCCTTGGCATGGGGTGCACCTCTGGTAAAACATTTCCATAAAATCCGTTCATACTTTTCTATTGATCCTGCAAACAAACCAAACTCAATTTTCTTGTGTTTTTGTCTGCAGTAAAATATTTCTGGACTTTTTGAGTGTGATGCTGAGGAACTCAATAGTCACTGCTGCCACCCTCTGGTATAGTGTGGAATTGCTTGTTCTGCCAAATATCCATCCATCCATTTTCTGACACGCTTAATCCCAAGCCGGGTCGCGAGGGGTGCTGGTGCCTATCTCCAGCTGTCTACGGGCAAGAGGCGGGGTTGCCAAATATCCCTACATCACAATGTAAAAAAAAAAATCCTGTATCCAGACGATGATCTGGAGCATCAAAAACATTTTAATGGATTGTTCCTTTGCATGAGGAACTCTTCTGATAAAAAATGTTTTCATATTTGTCCATGACCTTTCAAGTTATCCTTTACACAGACAGAAAGACGTACTGTACAAACACAAACTCCTAAAATCATAACCTCCTTGGCGGAGATAATAATGTCTGATTTCTTCTTTATCCTTCATCATTTGTTTAGTATTAGGGTTTATTCACTTTTCTACAAATTCTAAAAATATCTTTTTACTATTTTTAAGAGAATTGTTACAACTAACTTCCCCAACCTTTACTTAGAAAAAGAAAAATTGTCTTATTTGCTTTATATATACAAATAGGCCAACCTTTCCATGGTTTAATGATACCAATGAATATCTAAAAAATCAACAGATGAAGCAGACACTCCTGTACATGTGGCGCATTGGCCTGATGAGAAGTAGAATCATGTGTTTGTCTTACTTCTTTAGCCAAGGACAAATCTTTGTTAACTATTACGTTGTTTTGTATAGGTGGTGCAACCTCAGTCTTATATCTCTCAGACTATGACTGACAAGGCTTTCCTCAGGCAGTGTGCACAGCCTTAGTCTGCCAGAGTTAAGTGCAAGTAGTAATCATAAGCAGAAGTTCAGTTCCTTTGACTTTGGACTATAGGTTCACACAAGCATGAAGAATGTTCTGCTTTGCATGTTTTAAATCGGTAGAGAAGCAGAAGGTAATCATTTTCTGATTACACCCAAAAGAAAGTCCGTGACACTGTCTGAAAGTGTTCACCAAACACTAGACACTTGCAGATACTATTACACAGCCTTTACAGTACAACTAATATAGTGATGGGAAATTCCTTTAGTAGGAGCAATGTGAAAATTAGGCAGGTCAGCAGGGAAGACCACAGAACATTGAGCACTGTTTAACATCAACTCCTTTAGAGCATTAAATTGTTAAACAGCAGAAAACGTTTATGGCTCAGTATTAGTCCTTGCTTCTGGCTATTAATAAACCCGAAGCACTTGCAGAGTCGATGTCAAATGGCAATATGTCGTATATGTCCGGCCTTTATAGTGTTATGACTTTTAACAGACCTGCAGTTATGCTGTGCTGAATAAATCGGAATTTTATATATCCAGGCTCTTGGGACCTGAAAAACTTCAAGCAATTCCTCAAGCAATTACGCTACCAATATCTATCTTGAGACCAAAAGCTCATTAAAGTTTCAAAGTGTTACATTACAAAAGTACATCTTGTCTTTTCCCTGCCTCGTTAGATTGTTTGTCTTTGTTTTCCCAATGCTGCAAATATCAGCCAGGTTCTCCAGCTGCATGCTCTTCGCAGATAAAAGATCCTTCTCTAAATGAAAACAGGATAATTTTAGCAGCAAAGTGACAGTCATAGATCTAAAAATGGTGATGTTTCAATAGATCTCTGAGCTATTTTGGAATTACCTTTTGTCATTTGCTTTGCAAAATCTATTTTAAAAAGGATGTTTTATGCTGAGGAAAATATGAGGTTTGGTTAGATATACTCACGCTGCTTCGCATTTTAAAATCTAATATATATAAATTTTCAAATTTGGCTGGGGTATGTATTAGAAGACCATGTTATTTGCATTGACAGGAATAATGTGGTTGTGTTTCCTGGTACTACAAGCAAGAGATTATCTCTCATGAATATCAGTTTTAAATGGGAGATATGAGACATAATTAGAAACTTATTCACATCTTTGCAAAAGTTTGTTTTTCCTGTAACTTCTATACATCTGAATTTTTGGTATAACCACATAATGTGAGGTAATTACTATTGTGACCGACACAAAACAGATGGTAGTTTAGAAGCGGAAATAGAATAATATACTATTTTAAAGATAATGATGTGTCCAATAATGTTATTTTACTGTGATGCTGTTAAATAAAATCTAGCAGAGACAGTTACCTTCAGAAATGGTGATAGGAAATGCATTCAGTAAATGCTAGGTGTGGCGGAAACGTAACACTGTACATCACCATGAACACACCGCCTACATAGTAAAATCAGCTTGTGGTTGCTTCATTCTATGGGAATGGTTTTCCTTGGAAGAGACAGGGAAGCTAGTTAAGGTTGGACTGAGATGGATTGAGCTAATACAGAAAAACCAAACCCAAAAGAACATGCACTTGCAATTGTAGGGAAACCGAGTTCTACAAAGCTAGAATAAAAGTGCTCCACTTTTCAAATGTTTATTTTTGAATTTAAATGGGTGATTTTTTTATTTTATTTCACAACTAAATAATCCTCTTTATTAGTCTTTTAAAACAAGACTGATAAGATCAAAACTGAAATATTTGGTTTGCATGTACAATGTTGTGTAACATAAATCCTGCTTATCAATGCGAGCATTCCCTCATTAAATATGGTGGCCTTGCCTGCTGTGGTAATACTAATCTGGAAACAAAATGACTGCATTTTAGGACATCCTCAGTATTCCGGAAAACAGTTGTTAATTCTTAGGCGAAACATTGTTAGCTCTAAGGTAAAAGGAAACACAATGTTAGTTCTAAGGAAAATATTTGTCAGTCCTTAAGAAAAAATTGTTAGTTCTGAGCTATTAGGAAAACTGTTGTCAGTTTTAAGGAAAAAAGTCAGTTCTCAGGTTATATGAAGAAATTATGCTTAGGGATGACCTCCTTTTCTGATTTCACCATAAATAAGCTTAATTCCCCCTCTAAGCTATTAGAGACATACCCCTATTGAACTGCAGCTGTAATTTCTTCAACTTTGTGTTGGTATGTAACCTAACATATGTAGTTTAGTTTTTTTGTGGTTATAACATGCAGAAATATTCAGATGAATACTTTTGGAAGGCACATAGCTCATCATGCTAAGAGTTCCCAACATTTGTAAAGATCTCACAGGTATGTGACCTCTTCTCAAACAATGATCCCTTCCAATTCTGGAGAAGATTATCATAATGGCTATTTTGTCATAACTCACTTATGAGTTTAAAACCCTCTCTGACAGAGGAAAGAAGTGTCTGAATACCTCTGTCAATGATAGCTGAACATAACCCCAAATCCATCACAACTGTCAACCTAAATCCAGCAAAAGTCTTAAAAACTGCATCATCACTGAATTTTACTTTGGTCTGTGCAGACATGTCTTCTTTTTAATAGGTCAGTGAAGTAGGACAGTCTCCTAAAAAAAAATAGGACAAGAGGGGATACATTTGGTGCAATGCTATTTCAGAGCCCAGTTGGAGTCATTACCTGTATGAACTTCACTTCGCCTGTCATGCTTTGTTCATCTTCATTCATGTGTCGTCCTCTGGAGGTAACAGCGAGCTGCTGTAATTTGCAGGACAGCTCAGTGTAGATTGTGCATGAAATCATGAATCCTACTCATGGTTAGTGGAGGCAATGGAGGATGTGTGTTTTAGCTATCCGCTGGCTGACCCCTACTCACCCCTTTTCTTGCTTCTTCTAAATATGTTTGTAGCTGTCAGTAGACATTTTTCTTTCTACTAAATGTGTGTTCTTTTTATCTATCTATGATTCACAGAGTAGAGTATGTATATAAATGTGGGTGTCACAGAATGAAAGCACAGTTTAAGTATTATGATTAAATATGTTTTCTTATTCCCCTCGCAAACACAGCAAGCTAGTTTTACAGTATCGTAACTTTTCTTATTTCCAGATTGACTTTAATTGGGCTTGATTGTTGTGGTTTCGCATTTTCTTCCTCAGCTGGTGGATGTTTGTTAAAAACTGCCGCAGGTGTTTTTGTAGCAGCAAAGCCAGAGTGAATATGAGCATGTTTATTAGTCCAAGGCAAAGTTGATGATGTCTCCAGTGACCACATCTGGAGGTCACCTGAGAGAGCAGTTGGCTCGCTCTATTAAGAGGGCTTATTGGCTCAGCTCCCGTTTCTCCTCCCTTTTCCCTCCTGTAGAACACCGTGAAGCATAGGCCAAAAACAGGTTTGCTTCTTATTTAGTGATTGTGCATTAACACTGACTTTATTTTGTTTGCTTCTTTCTCCTTATTCCCTCTTACAGTAGCTGCTGCTCCAAAGTTAAAACCAATCAAGAATCCGATAATCGTGAGTGAGGGAAGCAGGCTTACGGTGAAGTGTGAGGCCACAGGCAACCCTGACCCTTCCTACAGATGGTTCAAAGATGGCAGCGAGCTTGAAAAAAAAAAAATTAAAACCCCCCGCAACAAGTAAGTACAATGAGAATTGTCCCTATAACCCAAACACATCCAGTTTAAAATTAAAATAAACATAGAAGCCAAAAATGTTTAATCTGTCAGTTTCAGGGTTTTTTTAGACCAAGGAAATACCACAATTTTATGGTGATACACCATGCAGGCTTGTTTTGAGGTCTTTCAAATTTAGCAAAGTTTATAGCATTTTTCGGATGTTGTTTTTCTTGACAAGGTGTTATCTTAATGCTCTATACTCAATTAAATGCTGTTATATAAAGTGAAGGACACAAAGCAAGTCAGTTATTCACTACCAGAAGAATTTTACTTGGTGGACTCTTTAGCTTTGAAACACAGCCTTACTTATAAAAAAAAATCCTGAATTATCCATTTAAAGAGGATTTACAGTGAGTCGAAGTCAGAGTGAAAGCAGAATTTTTAGTTTAGATAGCCTTTGGAGAATTTCACCACATTGGTGTCAAGCCTATGCAATTTTGCTATTGTCAGCATCTTTTTAGTAGTTTATATAACTAAGATAAAAAGCTTAAAGCAGTTAGTATATAGAAAGAAAGAAAGAAAGAAAGACAGACATCTTTTCATCAAGTTTAAATCCTGTAATTTTGCTTTATTGACAATGTGGCTGACAGTGAGCTAAAGTTAAACAGACTCACTTTTGAGGAGAAAATACCCCAAATAAAAGCTTATATTGTCAATGAAATGAAAGCCTTTGTTGATTGTAGCAATATAAGTAGGTTAAGCAGAAAAGAAATATGCAAGGCAATTAAGACGCTCTGATTTATCAGAGATGAGTTTATACCATGATGGTACTTGGCTTGTTGTCTGCCTCTTTGTCTCTCCATGTTCCCACTTGTTCGTTTCCATTATTTGTTTTGTTTTTTTCCTCTGTACTGATTCCCCTGACTCAGCTGTGTGAGTGTTGTCACCCACAGGAAATCCTCCAAAGTCCTGATCAAGAAAGCGAAACTGGGGGATTCTGGGAATTACACTTGTGTGGTGGAGAACCCTCTGGGGAAGGACAACTCCACTGGCACCGTTAACGTCCAAAGCAGTGAGTACTGAATCCAGAGCAACGAGTGGAGTGGCGCAGATGCGCTGGCGTTGTTGTTGTTGTTGTGACTGTTCTCTTGCCAATTGAGAGATCTGTCGGAGAGCTCGCAAACAGGCATGTAAGGATAGTAACACGCATGGAAAACAACTGGTCCTGGCCCATTATTCTGTGGAATGGAGAAATATACTTGGCAATAAGCAACCCTTAAATTTGGTGTAAAGTTCTTCATTCATCAGAGTTTTTCACAAAAGAGCACTAACTTATCAAATTTAGGTCTTTAAAAAAACCTCCTTAGAGTGCAGATTACAACCTAACAGGGTAGCTGAGTAGGATGTGGTGTCTGTATGTGTGTGTTACAGATTTTAGCAAATCACTGTAGCAGATGAAAGAGTTTTGATAACAGCTGCTTCCATTTGGTGAGGTGGTGAGTTTGCATTTGCTCCAAGAGGAATGGGAAAGTTCCGGCAGCTCTATGGAGCTTTTTACGTTTCTGTAAAGGCCCAGCGAAAAAGAGCAAAGCTGGAATCTCACCTATAGATCTTTTCCTCCTTTTTAAGAAAGAGCATGCTGGATAGAGATGGTTCATAAAAGATGGTCTATTAAACCTTTTGAACAAATGAAAACAGATTTATTCCAGCTTTAGCAAAAGTACAGAATATTGAGAGTATCTTAGAAAATATTCATCCCGTTTGAAGTTTTCCATGAGATCAATGAATAACGACAGAGTTTAGTGTATTTTAATGAGATTTTATGTGACAGGCCTTAGGAAAATGGGAAGGTTTCTAAATCTTTTACAATTGAAAATCTAAAAGGTTTGGCATATATCAAGGTTCAAACCAGTTTATTCTAATGTGACCAAGCACTTTGAAACCTCCACACTATAGTTTAGTGTCAGAATAAACCAGTTCTACAAAGGTATAATTAGCTAGCTAAATAATATTAGTTTAAAAAAATAGTATAGAGAAGACCAGGTAACAAAACACACATTTCAGGGATCATTGTGCAAAAGTTTTAAGCAGAGTAGATTTCAAAGAATGCTGCAACTTTGAAAATCTCACAAAGACTATATGTTCATCATTTGCAGCACTAGAAAATTTATAGCTACTCTGAAGGATCGGCAGAGATTTAGAGCTCTGGTAGGAAAATCTTAGAGACCCCACAAATATGAGCTTTGCATAGGAGTTAGAGGAAGAGAACTGTTGTTAAAAGAATACCAGAAGAAATCCCGTTTGCAGTTTGTCTTGTGTAACAGACAGAGCAAGCATCTGGAAGAACATCCTTTTTTTAGGTGAACTGTTTGGCTAACAATCAAAATGCGATGAGTAGTGGGAAATTAGCCCTGTGGAAAATAGCGGTAGCATCATCATGCTTTGGGGATGTTCTTCTTCCACAGGGACAATACACAGGAGTTTACATTCATCTAGTTTCATCTTTTTGTTACTGAAAATCCCCTAAAAATAAATTTGAGCTTTTGATTGCAATATAAGAAATTTTGAAAAAATGGGATATAGTCTATAGAAGAGGTCTTTGCACAAGGATCTCAAAGACATATACAGTATTTTAATAATTTATACTGTTGCAAAGGGTGCAATATTCAACTTTGAGATCCCATTGATTTTTGTAGGTATTCGACACAGACGCTGCTGCAAAAAATTATACAATTTTTATTGTATCTAATTTTTATTTTACCAGGAAAGATATCCATTGAGATTCTCTGCTACAAAGATGCCCAGGTAAAAAGGGGTCCTGAGATTCATTCACCATCCTTGTATTCACTTTAATATTTGCAATGGCCACCTCTCTAGAGCTTTTGTTTACTGTTAGCAGTCCTAGTCTTGAGCTGCATTATCAGAGTAGCAGCTGTTTTTTAGACAGAGAAAAGAACCATTGTGCTTGGAAACACATAGTAAGCTTGATATCTAAAGGAAACATTTTTTTTTTTTTTTAGAAAAGAAGCCATCCATCATGAGTTTCTAAATCGGCTGCAGATTGCCTCTTTTATTTTTCTGACATCTAAAAAGCTTTAGCTGAATTTTATGAGCGGATCGTGTGACTACTTTATGCTTATAGTGCGACACTGTGCTTTGTCCAAACACAGAGTCATCTTTCTCTTTGTTAATAACAATGAAATATTTATGCATGTTACCAAGACATGCTGTGCTAACATTTATTAAATGTTGATGTTACAACGGTAAGTAACTGCACAACAACCATGCTTAATGGCAATTAAAATAAAATAGGTTGAATCATGCTCTGAACCCTCAGAGGTCAGAGAATCCCTGGTGGTAGCACCTACCTTTCTTTATATTAAGTGAAAGCTCAAGAGCATACGACTGGTGGTCCATGAAACTGTAAATTATGATGTGTTCAGCAAGCCAAGATCCTGGTGATGCAGAAATGCAAAAGAAAATCTAATATAACAAAGCAGTGAGCATGTGGGCTGATTCCCACAGTAGCCATAATGGATAAAACATGACTGAGCAGCAATATAGAACAGTGTTTTCACTTGCAGCACAGACTATTTAAAACAAGTAAAACTGGATATGGTTCCATGTAATGCAAAAGAATCATTAACAAGGGCTGGCAACTGACAGAGCTGATGATAGAACAAAGTAAAAAAAAAAAAAATGTATGCTTCTTCATTCTCACTCACTATCTATGCAAGTCTTTGTGTAAAATCACCCCTATGCTTTTCATCTGTCAGCACTGACATTTCCTCAAGTAATGCTTGGATATTCCAACAATGGCATTACTGTACATCCTTTAATGCACTCCTGATCACTAGTTGTGTGTAACAGTTTGTTTTTTTTGTGTTCGTGTGGATGTGTTGGTTCACCCTTTAATAAAAAGCGTCCCATTGTGGTCCAACAGCACACCTATTTCTGTCACGCTTCAGGGGAGAAGGCAAGACAGGGCGAATCAGGGTAGACATGTCTATAGGCGGGTTTGAGGACTTCACGGAGGAGGCGTACACTAATAATCCATAACATTATGACTACCCATAAATATTGAGACAGGCTCATGTTTTGTCTTTTATACAGCTCTGATTGATGACTCCATGAAGCCTCTGAAACTCTGTATTTCTATTCCGCTCTGCTGTACTCTGGCAAAATATAAATCCACTGAAGCCTAATGCATGCAGAACTCCTCTTATCAATTAGAGAAGTCTACCTGTGTGTAATGTAATCACAGTATATAAATGAACGAAAAGCATTAAGAAGACAAGGCAGCAGATAAGTCTGGAATTATATCTTGAAGAACTTTAAATAGGAGGACACACTTAAGTAGGACAGCTACTAATCACAATGTCTGGCCTCTACGGAAGAGTGGCAAGAAGAAAACCAGTGTTGAAAGAATGCTATTAGTCCCATTAAAAGTTTTCCACACACCATGAGGCCACGCGCCCATGTGGGACCAAATCTATGGACTGATCAGATGAGACAAAAAAAGTGAGAAAACAATCAAATTTTATTGATCTAAAGCGCCTGTCACACCTTGACGATTTAGACCAGCGTATGCCTGACTTACGAAAATTCTGGCAAAAATGCTGGCATATATTGGATAAGTTATGGGTCCATTTTATGTTATGGGTCCATTTCATTTTTGAGTAATGAGTACGCTGAAATATGCTGAAACACGCTGGCACATGTCAACATGCAGCAGGTACGCACCCAATATATGTCAGCATATGCCATATGTGGGGCATACATTAAGTCTTAGGTAAGTTATCTGATCATTGACATAAGTTAAGTGTAAATTACTCATAAGTCGTGGCGTCTAGTAACCAGTAACATGGCATAACTGATAGGTAACTTATCAATAACTTATCTCCAATACATATCAACGTATTTGACGTGTTCCAAACGAACACTGAACGTGTTTCAAACGTACAGCTACTGTATAATGATGTATTGGCAGTGGGGGTTCCTAGGAGGAAACCGTCTGTACTCCTCTGGATTTCATCCACATCATAGGATGAGCGTGAAGGTGAGTGTGAGGATCCTTCCTGCGTTCACGCCCATGGCCAAGACCAACAATCTTCCTAGCAGACATGACGCTAAATTCTGTCTTTTTTTTTTTTTTTGGGTTGCGGTAAACAGCAGCTAGGGTTATGCATGAGTTAGGCTGTCGTTGGATATATGTTCTGGACTGGTTATGAATACTCTATGTAAACGCCCACTCTGGGAAGTTGGGCATACACTGTCTAAATCGGCAAGGTGTGACAGGGCCCTCACCGTCGGCGGCTGGCCTATACAGGGCGCTCGGGTGCTGCCCACCCTAGATGTGGAGGGGAAAAGTCATAAATAATATATATATCGATTTTAAAGTATATAAAGTATTATCAATGTTTTTCAGTTTTATTTAATGTACATGGCTACATGTAAAATGAATTATTAAATGAACTATGAATTTTAATTATTAATAATTCAATTTTAATTATTAAAACAACACTTCTACCAATTGACTCTCATTCAACAGTGCATTTAAGCTGACAGAGCATATCATTTCTCTTCTTAGGTACTCATTCAAAGTGCCCCTGAAGTGTAGCGAAATAACCTATTGTATAATGTTGCTAGGGAAAATTAATAAATATTCGGCCAATTTCCTTAACTGAAACATGGAAGTTAGTTAAGGTTAATAAGAAGATTGATGGAACTAATGGAAGGGAGACCATGGATATAAAATCTGTCAGAGTCACCTTCCTGCAGGATGGAACTTCAAATGCAGCCAGAATTATAACTGACTGGTTTAGAGTATTTAGTGCATTGATGTGAATAATTGGCTGAGTAAAAGTCCAACTTTAGGTCCAATTGATAATCTGTACAGACATATAGTTGACAGAAACAAGTCTTCCATAATCAACCAATCAAAGTATCAACCAGGGAATATTGAATAAATATAAGGGCTGAACTATTTTGCCAAAAATCTAAATGGTGTTTTTTTCCAACTAATATTGTAATTTCATTCTGATTTTCTTTTGCAATAACCACAAGCATATA